TATTCCATTACAAAATCATTTTGGGCTTTTGCACTAGGCAATATCATACTTTATATTTTGTTTTAATAATTCATGCAGCCTAAAAAGGCAGCATGCAACCCATGATGAAACACTGTGTACTGTGCAACGGTGCGTTCTATTAAGGTTAAGTCATTAACAAAGGCAATATGACACATTTCCCACCCATTGCTTTTTCACAATTTTTAAGGCTTTTTAACAATCAGGTGACTAGTAAGTCTTCACAGTCTCACATTTACCACATATGTGACGTTGTTCACAGTCACACTTCTAAAGTCACACTTCTTATCATCTCACCTACTGGTAGTAAAAAATGTTTTTTTTGAACCAATCAAGGTAAAGACAAGACATGTTTAATGTAGCTATTATTATAGTGTCAGCGCCTATATGTGGCACATTATTCATAGCGAGATGCACGCCATTAGTATATCTACAAAAGTCAGTACTTGGCAAGCAGGTTTATCACTGATATAAAATACACTTTTGGACACCAGTAGATTCCAAAGTAACAGTCCATCTATGATATCATTGCAATGCAGAATGTGTATAGAGTTTAGTGAAGCATATAAATAAGATCAAAATGTAATGCATGTGTGATGTTGCCTACAAAGATCATAGAAACTTGCCAAAGAATGAGGATAAGAGGATGAGAATGACAAGGTCAGTTGATCAAACTCATAGTTACATAATATCGACATCAATAGGTTTTCTCATGTGTCCTGTGAGGAAAAGAGTTTTGCTCTTTGGTGAATTGTAAATATGGTCAATAATAATATGAGTGGGTCTTCTTGTAGGTCTCCTTGAAATAGTCTATCGACATCAAGCATGACCACCATACAACTATACTGATGAATGGTTTGTTGAATTGAAAACCGCAATATCATATTTTGTTGCCTTGATTAGAGAGTTTTCTGTACAACAGCTTAATCATTGTCTACTTTTTTGTGTACACTGAAAAAATGGTTGTAGAAACAATTTTCATTTAGAAATTGCTAGTAAATTTCACAAACAGTTACAAAGAAACGGCAAGAAATGTTTAAATGAATGTGATCAATATAAAGATGGAGATTTTACACTGTAGACTGCATTCTGTTAACCTGGATTTGTCCTCTTGTAGTGTATTACTAGATTTTTAGATTTAACTGCTCAGTTATTTCATTAAAATAATAAATGGTACTCATGAAAAATACAACAAAATATAAAATCCTAGGATGTGTTTGAAGAGTACTGTCCTTTTAAGAGTGTTGGCGTTAGTCGCTGTATGCATAAAATGATAGCAGAGCTGAGCTGAATGCGCTCATGCATAAAAATAAAAGAGTTCATAATGTTACTTTGAAATGCGTAATAAACTTATTTCAGCACCAAATTATGCTTGTGCGTCTGTGCAGTTAGCCAAAGCACAAAAATCCATTTTGTGCCTTAACAGTAATATCATTGCACATGTGTGTCTAAACAAATGATTTAATGTCAGGGATACATGTGTTTATAGTTGTAATATGTGCAGTATCATTCTTTTTTTGATCATAATACTGTACTTTTGTTCAAGAACACACACAGACACACACACACACGCACACGCACACACACGCACAAACTCTCTTGATTAACACCAAACCCATCATTCAAATCCAGTGGTTATAACTCTTAGCTGTTTTTCAAGAACTATGACATCCCAACATCCCAGAGCATGCTAGTTCGATAGGGTTTATTTTTCCCTAATTGAAATAGTGTATTTTTATAGCAGATTTCAGAATGCGGAATGTTAAAATAAAGTTGAAGTGTGTCATTTTTTAAGCAATGTTTGTTTACAGTTCTCGGAGTGCAAATAGCCAAAGACTGTTTTAATTAACTCGGAGCATTGCTTAGATATTTTTACATTTAGTACAAAATAGAATGTTACATTCTATTTACACTTTGTATGATTAGCATCAATCATTATTTGCTCTTGCATTATTTGCACTTAGTGTAAAGATGCTTTTTGTTGCTATTTAAACTTGGTGCAAACAGTATATCTACAGCTCTTTACACTCAGTCTAGCAGCTACCTTTTCACTTAGTTTTTTATGTTGCTTTCTCCTATTTCAGCTTAACACACACAGACAACAGAAGTATTAACTAACATTAACAAAGGTTAATATGCTGTAAAAATATATTGCTCATGCTAATGCTAATGAATGCATTGTTAGCAGTGTTAACAAATAAGACCTTAGTGTAAAGTGCTACCAATAATATTTGAAAGCATTTTGTTTTAAATAAGACTGCATTGCAGCTAATATATTGCTATATGGCTTTTATCTTTAAATTATTTAGCATGATTAATATTACAGTAATATGTTACTGCGCCTTGCAAACGCATTCACAACCTTTGAAAATCCTACATTGAAATATACTTCTTAGTGACATTTTTATTTAAAAAATCTAACTCAAATCTATTTTTATATAACTTTGTTATGTTAGGAAACTTCCTTGCAGAGATAAAATACTGAAATGAGCTTTTTGCATAAGTATCCGGTCCCACAGATCGAAAACAATTGCCCTAATGAGGACACAATTACCTCACAATTGTGCTCTGCCTGTGAATCACTGAAATAACAACCCCATTGTCTGGATTTTTTTTTTTAATGTAACCCTACAGTAAAGGGATCATTATTCAGGTTGTGAATATAAAGTACATCTTAAAGGTTGAGGTACTTGAATACGATGCAACCAATAAAGAAAATGCTTAAATTGTTGTAAACATGTCGAATGCAACACTTTAAATGAATATAATGTACATACACCTGAAACTTTTCTTTTAAAGAGAGAACTCGGAGGGGTTGAAGAGCATCTGAAAAGAGTCATTTGATCCAACTTTAATCAAACATCAAAGTGTGCAAACCACAAAAAAAAAATAAAAATAGTATACAAGGTTCAAAATTATTTTTTTTCTCTCCTCATGGCCATATGATTTCAAACATGTTATACTTGCAGTGTGTTTCATTTAAATTTTGTAATGCAAAACCGTGAAGTCATGAAGCAGATTGCTATCATTTAAACTGTCATTTTACAGTTATTTTTATTCTATACATATGTAAATAAAACTTGTCTAATATAATGTAACCACTCAACCTGTGTTTCAGGATATGTTGATGATAACTAAACAATGAAGACAGGTAAAGACTTTAATTACTGGCTATTGCTTGGCTTACTGTTGGACCTAATTGTTGAACTTAATCGTGTTCAATTTAGCTTTCATGCTTAAACTGTCCATATCAATTAGCTTATAGTGCATTGAGAATACACTGACATTTGAAAAAACTGCTAAAGACACAAAAAAGCATGCATGCCGCATTGCTTTGCAAATCACTTGTTTGCACAGAGCTTCGTAGGTGAGAAACACTATACTGGGGAAAGACCTAAAGATAGCAACAAATTAGTTTTTATGCATTTTTCAACCAATAGAGAGTAGGTATGAAAACTTTCACAACAGTGCATGGCCTAGATAAACACACATAAACACAAGCACAAATTGGGATAGCAGACTCAAATAGAACAGTATAAATCTATGCTAGATAAAATCAAGCACCTCCAATGATATTTTATTTAAAATTATTTAAGTTTGCTTTATGACAACGTCCCTCCCTCTAAGCTGAAATTGAGCTATTTATCTGACTGTACCTATGGGTCAGTGCTCCATATGCCGAGGGAGAGTCCAGACGGGAGAACCGCACCAGTAGTGTGGGTCAAATATCACCTCACCTTCCTTATTCCAACAGCTCTGCATGATTGCATGAGGTAAACTTTTGATCTCCATATAGCGATGCAATGAGCTTGAATTTTCCATTGACCCTCCTTCTTTGGCAAGGTTATTACATGAATAGCTGTAGACAATGTCACTCATGCAACCTTTGTGATTGTTTGCACTACAACGCTATTGCAAGATGGATGGCAAATGACAGGATAAAGCTGCTGATTACGGGTTTTTGTTGAATGAATGCTTTAATAGCACACTTGTCACTGATTGCAAGTAACTTGCATGTTTTTGAAAGTATTAAACTGTTCTTGTGTCCAAAAGGTGACAACAGTCTCAGTCATGTAAACCGTATTTGATATCAAGAAAGACGAGTCTGACATCAAACAAGACACGCTACTTGACGTCTGGCAAATTAATAGCAATATCAAAGGGACCAAAAAAGGACCTGACAAGAAATAAAACATGAGGTTCTGCATCAAACCATTCTGCCTTTGATAAAGGTCCCTGTGAATGCTATATACTGAATAACTTCAGTATTCATATTTAAAGGAATAGTTCACCCAAAATGAAAATTTACTCACCCTCAGGCCATCCAAGATGTAGATGCATTTGTTTCTTCATCAGAACAGATTCAGAGAAATTTTGCATTACACCACTTGCTCAACAATGGATCCTCTGAAGTGAATGGGTGCCGTCAGAATGAGAGTCCAAACAGCTGATAAAAACATCACAAATAATCCACTTTACTCCAGTCCATCAATAAATGTCTTGTGAAGTGAAATGTTGACATCAAGACATTTATACCTTGAAATGAGTCCTCTATCCATAATATTGCTTTCTCCAGTGAAAAAGTCGTCTCATCTGAATCAGGAGAGAAATATGCACAGCATATTTGCAAGTGAAACGGTCCAAAACCATTTTAAACTAATATGTTGAGAAGACAACAGGGGATGAACTTTTTCACGTTATTATGGATTATGGACTCATATTTTGGTTTAAAGTTAAAATCCCTTAATGATGGAATCCTTTATTACAAACACACAACTTTTCGCTTCACAAGACATAAATTGATGGACTGGAGTGATGTGGAATATTTGTGGATTATTGTGATGTTTTTATCAGCTGTTTGGACTTTCATCCAAAATCTGTTCCAATGAAGAAAATTAAAATTTTCAGCAAATTTCCATTTCCTTTAAGCACTTCTCAGACTCAAATTATCTATTTTTATCACATTCTCTCTTCCCTTGCAGGACTCAGCCCTAAACAAACGTACATCAGCTACAGCAACCACGCAATCTAGGTAAGGGATAAAAGGCCACTACCAAATCCCAGAAGTGACCCCCAGAAGACAGCATTTCAAGATAAATCACTCTCACGTTATGTCACTTATGAAAGTGAGATAGCGGATGGTTGGAAGACCCCCACAGACATGTTTGCATTAATGAAGCTCATGTGAAGTCACATAGGGAGCATCTTGGGAGGCCGAGACTGTTGAGGCGGTGATGTTGGAATGACGGTCTGTCACCCAGACTATTCCATTACAGCTTACTCTATCTATTCCAGATGTCATTGTTAAAGTGATACACACTAATTAAGGACAACATGTCAGTGTCTGCTGTTTCATTGACGCTAACACTATGTGGTGGCTTAAAAAAAAAAAGAAGAAGAAAAAAATAATTAAAAAAAAATAATTCAAAGCTTTTTCCTCTTGTTTTCTCCTTGGTGATGACAACAGCAAAGACAGTGACCATTGTTTACAGATGTTGAGCATGCTGGTTTTGACATCCTGTGCTGTGTTGTTTTTTCTTTCTTTATTTCTTTTCCTTTTTAAAAAAAAAAAAACCTTCTGAAATGCAAAGCGTCAGGTATTTCTGTGAGATATGGCTTGGGCACACCGCAATACAGTTGCTAGGTTGTTCTGGGTGGTTGCTAGGGTATTGTTTGGCGGTTACTATGGTATATGCTGTAAATCTGTGGGATTTTTTTCACTCGTTTTTCCGCTGTCAAGCAAAAACCAAAAGTCGGATTGCTTAGAAAAGTGATAGCGCAGCTCTCTTCTATAAACCACAGATAGATTTTGAGTGATGATTCAGGTCTGTAGCACAAACTTGGCTCTTTTTTTTTTTTGTCTGCAAGAAGAAAAATAGGACAAACAATAATAGTTATACAAGCGTAATAATAATAGACAAACCCTATAATATGTAGACTCAAGTGAAATGCTTTTTAATTTAATAATGCTTTTGTATCAAAACTAAAAAAAAAGAAACCTGAAACATGCAGTATTTAAAACAGCCAAGTTGTATCACCTCTTAATGTGCTAATACGCTATTGTATTTATTTTTATTAATATTCTTAGTCAAAAACAAAAAAGGATTGTTCTCATGCCTAAATGAAAAATAAAATATTCTGTTTTGTGCATTTAAAAATTTCCTTCAAAAAGGCACTTAGTCCTCAAGATTAGGAGACATCCTGACACAAAAGCACAGTGGAAATTAAAAGAAATGTCATTTGTCTGAGATATATATTTTACAACAGGCAGCCGTCTATCATAATGTGCATTTCAGAAAGCCCATTATTAAGTGTGAGATGTATCTGCCATCAGCGGCAACAGCGCAGAGGAAGACAGGTGCTATAAAGAAAAGCACCGGTACTTTGACTCTGTGATGTATAACGGCGTAACTACCAGACATAAATTATAGGCCATGTTAGGCTTATTTAGGTCTGTCTGGAATACAGGACATAAAACAGAGACTTGATTGGACTGCTACTCCATCTCTCTGACAGTGCTTAGAAACTGATGGAAAGAGCGTACAGTGAAGGGTGGATCAGGATGTTGTGCAAAGGAGGTCATGTTCTCTGAGATCAATACATTCTGTCTGTGTGTGTGTGTGTGTGTGTGTGTGTGTAACATTGTGGTTTGTTAGCTGAAGAAGGTTCTTCCTTATTAATGAGTTAAACTTCCATAAGAATTTGTTTATTTGAATTATAATATTATTGTAAATTGTTTAATGAAATATAAATATTGTAAATGTAATATTTTATTATTGTAAATTATTTATATATATATATATATATATATATATATGAAGTGTTTAGATGCAAAAGCCTCTAATGTGGTCTCATATGTCACATTCTGGCACGCTTGTGGCAAGCTGCGTAAATACTGTAAGAACAACCCTGTAGCTTGTCATCACACAAAATAGACACTAAAGCCATTTAAATTCCCTAATTTTGCAGAGCTAACTCTACCTTCTGCCTGAAAGAGGGATTCACAAACACTTAAGGATAACGGATTAGGTTTTGTAAATGTGTATTTGCAAGTGTACATGTGTTTGGTGTTGGGAATAGACTGTGATGAAAAGCAGCTTTGCTTACAGTTGCAGAGGTGTCAAGTTATAGTCAGGCCAAGCAATTTGCACCGAGCTTCAATCTATCAAAATGGCAGCTGGTGCAGCAGGCCCTTAGAGAATTCTCCCGAAGAAAGTAGCCTATGCTTTATTTGTTCTCTTTATTTAGTTTATGATTAAAATGTCAAAAAAGAAAAGATCATGTCAGCAGCCTTTGCAGGTTGAACTCTAACATGCTTTTCCTAACAATGTTTTCTAATACAATCTCTATATTGCACTCAAAATGTCACTATAGTTAAAATTTGAATGGCTGACTTTATGCAGAGTCTGTCAAGAAACAAAGTTGCGTTTACCAAGTATCAGGTTGATGTAATCACTGCATTTAACCAAGGTTGCCATGTTTGTCAATTTACATGTCAGTAAAACAGTCTTTTCCTCCCTAAGTAGATGTGTTTGGCCAGAAAACCTGCAAAGTGGAACTACACTTCATACTGAAGCCTATAGGAGACCAAATTTGGAGATCAAATATATATTATTTTTTATGACAGCCACCATTTAAATTTTTATATTAAAAAGAAAAACGAATTGAAGTAGAAATATTATGTAATTGTAACTTTATTATTTAAAAAAATTCATTGTGTAATTTTAACAGTTGCATGCTATAGCTTACAAATCAGTCCATTTTAATCTTCAATACGAATTGAAGTAGAAATATTATTATGTAATTGTAACTTTATTATTTAAAAAAATTCATTGTGTAATTTTAACAGTTGCATGCTATAGCTTACAAATCAGTCCATTTTAATCTTCAATATTATAGTAATGTAGTAGTCTACCAAATGACTCTCATGTAGCCTATATTTTATAGCATTAGTTGAGAGATTTTTTTTCCTTGAGAAAATTTGGCAAGTACTGTACCTGATATATATCCAAAATAATCGATATCGAATCTAATCGAATTGGTAATCGAATTGAAAGCTTGTGAATGAGAATCGAATCGAATCATGAAATTTGTGTCAAAACCTAGCCCTAATATATATATACAGTCCTTTATGGTACACTTGACAGCCACTGGTCACCATTAATAGCAGCTTGGATATTCTGCTAAATCATCTGTATTATAAACCATAAAGAAAAAAAAGATGATTATTTGGATCAGTATATTAAAAATTTAATTGTAGAGCATCGTCTCTAACACATTTGCTCAACTTTGAAGACCAGGCACTTGAACAGTAGTGAACAATTAAAAAAAAATCCAACAGGATCATAAAATACAGAATTAGGTCAAGTGTATTTGCTGAATTGTCCCTTCCTCCCAAAGCATAAATTCACTCAGAATCTTCCCCCAGTTATGCATAATAAACTACAGGCTTAGCAGCTGAGCAGATCGCAGAGCTGCTGAACTGTGGATGTGGTCTCAAATGTTAGTCACGTCATGTTCTGCTTTATTATTATTGTGCTCTTGAGGAAGTCATTTAACCCTAACTTGCTGTGTTGCTCCGATGGGAATTCCCTGCAGCCGCTCAACACAATAACTGTGCTCTGAAGTATCCACTTACTAATTCCTTTGAATCTAATTGATGGTCTCATTAGATAGTTGAAAAAAAAAGCATTTGGGCCTTTTAAAATTTTGCTTTTTGAGAAGTTTGACCAGAAGCCTTGTGCTTGTGGAGGTGGCCATAAGATATTTTAATTATGTAAGCCACGTCCAAGAAACAAGGGCTTATGAGCGGCTTACAAGGTCTGTAAATACTGTACTTGTTGGAAATTAATATGGGTTTTAGTTGTGTAATTATATTCTTTTTTGAAGTCACCTTTTTTAACACTCAAGAGAACCTTTTCATTGCTGAACATAAAGTTCAGTCAGTAAGATTGGGGTCTTTTAAAATAGAAAAAAGTTGTTTTAAATGTAATAATATTTTACAGTTTTTTTAATCAAATAAATGCAGCCTTTTTTAGAGACTTCTTGCAAAAACATTACAGACCCCAAACTTTTGAATAATATTGTATATGTCTGTATGCTAAAAATATGTGCAACCACTTATCTTTAAAAATTAGTAACATCAAATAACCATGTTTTTTTTTTTTCACTTCGCAGCACATATGATGTGTCTGATGCAGTGTTGGGCAGTAACTAGTTACTAACTTAGTTACTGTAATAATATTACTTTTTGCAGTAACTAGTAGTGTAACTAATTACTAATAAGATTTCAGTAATAATATTACAGTTACCATCCATAAAACAGCTTAGTTACTTAGTTACTTTTGTTAACTTTTGCCTCAACCCCGCGTTCGCGCGAATCATTCGTGATCCAGCTTCACCTACAGAAGAAGTGAGTATACGGTTTTTTTAATGAATCTTTGCAAATCGACTTTCCTAATTATGTGCTAATTAGCAAGTTTCACAATGAATGCGGCTAAAGTAAACAGTCTCTCAGAAGAAGAGCAGCTCGGAAGAGAGGGGCGGGATCAGTAGAGCTCATTAACATTTAAAGGAAAATGCTACAACATTGTGTGCTCTGAAAAGAGCTGTTTTTGACAGGGTAAAAAGGTGTTTTTTACACTACCATTGAGAAATTTAAACCAAACTATGTTACAGACTTTTCATTAAGACCCTAAAGAATCATATCAACTTGTGGAAAATGGGCATCCTATGACCCCTTTAAAGGCAGTAACTGTGTAGTTGCTGATGCAGTGATAGTTACATTAGCTATCAACAGCATATGTGTGAGCTAATGTTTAACTGCAAAAGGATTTACGTTTTATAGAGAATGTTTCACAATAATAATCCAGGAAATGCCTGTAAAGTAACAGCACTTTTTCTGAAACATTTAAGAAAAATTTAAATCTAAATTAGGATATTTTACAGTTTATGTTTGGCAGCCACTTCTGCCAGTCCATTAATTTCCATTATACTACGGGGCCGTTGAATTCTTGAATCTGATTGGCTGATGAACGTTCTGAGGTGTGCAATTATTTTCAGGGAAACGCACGGCGAATGTAGTTCCAGGCAGCTCTCTTGACCGCATTACAGTTCCATACCACTTTGCATAGTTAACTGTAATAACAGAAATTAGCATACAGTACCTATACAGCACACAGGAATTACTGCAATCGCACGTGCTCGCACACGCACACTACGGTCACGCAGTTTGCACAAAAAGGTGTTGTCAGCGCTGCCCTGACGATTTTATCAGTTAGCCTATATAGTGTAGCAACTTAAAGGCTACACATGACATTTCTCACTAGCGAGGTAATAACAGCGCTGTTTAGAGACGCTGCTGCAGAACACTGTTGAGGGACGCACAGAGTTAGCCTAATTCGCACAAGCTCTCTCTCTCTCTTTTTCTTTCTTTCTCTGTGTGTCTGTCTTTCTCGCTCTCTTTCTAATAA